GCTCTCCCCAACCACGTTTCTGCATCTCATCGTTTCTGTGAGGCCTCGAATGGGATTGAGTTGACAGTAGTGGTATGCAGCAGCTTGAAAGGTCATCTGTCATAGATGTCGGGTATTCATATCTCGAGACATGATACTTTCAAGGTGTTCATTCATTCAGGCTTCATGGGCCATAGTGGACTCGTATCAAGTCACTTGATGAGTGGCCTTGTTGTTGATCGTCCTCAGTCTCTAGGGCAGCATAGTTGAAAGCAGGTCTACGGCTTGCCACCGCCGAGCGCCATCACTTGAATGGGTAAGTGTTGCCAAGCCATTAGCTTTGCGTCTCAACAACGGCACAGCTCTGTTAGAATTCATCATCGCAATCATCCCCCACAGCTTTGAATCAACAACCATCATCATTGTTGAGGACAGTGTCGCCATGAGCCTGTTTGCTAGCAGGCCTTCTCTTCGGTTAGTTTACTCTCAGCGTTCATCGGTCCTCTGTATATTTGGAAAGATTCCCTTTGGCCACCAGTGCCTTATTGTCTCGCCGCGGTAACCCTCTCATGCCCGCCAACCTTTAACCATCCTCGTTGAGCTACATATTCTCGATCGGTGTACTCTACCTTGCAATGTTACACCACTTCAGAGAAGTCATCCGTGATATAGTAGGTGCTAGGCTTGAATTCTCGCACTCATCGCAGTCGGGGCTACGAGCGAAACAGGCGAACCACGATGGTCCATTGAGCCCACAGCTGTTGTTAGCGACATGTATAAGGAAGCACCTCCTGTTGAGTACAAGCTCGTCCTTGCTGTACTAGTCGGAGGCGACGTGCCAGGGGCTGAGAAATACAAATATCATACACATGTCCATCCATGGCTACGGTGAACTGGCTTTAGCTGCTTAGTCGATCTCGAGGGGTAGTCTGCCAAGTGCATTTAGAATATGTCTATGTCTGTGTCGTAGTCGTCGTCGACGGATGGTGATCATCCAGGAAGGTCCACTCGGTGGATATCCCGAGTCCTGTCCGATACATGGGCATCACTGCGAAACCACAAGTGGGTCATTTGGTCGCCCCCCTGGGGACCACTCTCATTGTGGCCTTTTCTAGGGCCCTTATCGACTGCTGCAAGGAGCTCAAGTCACCGGGGGGAGATACCTCAGCTGGGGAGGAACATCAGGGCGGCGGCGGCAGCCTGACAGCGTAGTGTGTGTAGTAGAGGAAGCCTCGTTGATGATGTCGTCCAGGTACGAGTCGGACATGCTCAACACAGGCTCTCCTATGACACTAGGGCTCATAGCAGGTATAGTAACGATGAGCTTGCCTCGGCAGTTACTCGTTTGTTCAGCTTTAACGTATCCTATCACCTGGCGTAGTGTTAGCCGGATGCACCTCTTCCGTAACCGCCCAGTTATACCACAGTTTCTTGCTATAGTATGGAGACCTATTCAGCCTCATGGTATAATGAGCATCGATTCCTTACAGGTGCCTCCAGTCGCCTTCCTGTACATCGCCGGAGTTTATAACTGTAGACTGGTCATGAGCCGATTGGTATGGCCCGAGTCCTACTCGCCTCTCGAGTATCTCTACTTACAGGTGCATAATGAGGGAGAACGGTCAAGTCGAGCACGAGATGTCATCGACTTCTACCGAGAGAAGGCACCAGTAGACTACGAGACCTTGCGACAACAGAGTATGTAACGACCTAGGTATACCTAACAATGACCTTTCTGCTGACTTGGTGTTGCGTCTGGGCAAAAAGATATGGTCTTGTTCGGTCGGCTGTCCTGTTATTGCTGTATCTTTTTGTCCTGTTGTGGCTTCGTTTCCATGTCGAAGCTATCTGACGAAACACAGGACCTCCTATTGAAGACCAAGATCGACGATGTCCTCCGGGAGAGTCTGTTGAAGGTGAGTACAGTGGTGGACTAGGAGGAGGACCAGGGGTTTGATATCACTTTTAGTTTTTGGAAAAGATCGGCCAGGAGCCCCGAGCAGAGTACTTCTTGACGGTAGGAGGGTCCGCGTACGATGAGTACCCTCTGATAATGGCAATCATGTCAGCCTGTGGATCAGAAGGCGTATCCTCATTATAAGGACGTTGTGAAGCGGCCGATGGACTTGTCTACTATGGAAATGAAAGTGAAGGGGCAAAGGCCTCGAGGACGGAAGCCTCGAGTGCCCAGACCGTAATCCCTCTAGCTGGCCATCGAATGTCTCTCCTTGGGTGTTTCCTCGAGACTCCTAGCGATGACTCTGGTACATCCACTGAGGCTTGCTGCTGACTTGTGTGGTCAGGACGATAGAGAAGTACCAGTATGTTCAAGATGTCTTCAATGATCTGGAGCAGATATGGATCAACTGCATGACGTGAGGAGGCTCGGTTCACTTAGCATGTTGCACGACGCGTTATGCAGGTTCAACCGCCCAGACTGCGATGCCTATGCTGCCTCTGTAGAGATGCAGGCAACCGCGCGAGCTCTCGTCGATGACTGGGTCGTGGCTAACATCCCTAGTGAGTCGATAGGATGATCAGTGACCAGTGCTCGGTCTCCACTTCATCTGCTAGATGCTCGGATGAAGGAGATCGATCCGAGCCCTACTGTACGACTCACCGCAGAGGTGCTGAGGGAGGTGAGTGAGGCTGAGGGCGAGCCCGAGGCTGGTAATACATCAATTCACACTTTCTCTGGATGGCTCTTATCATCATAGCTGGTCAGGTGTATCGCCGAGCACTAAGAAGTCTAAGAAGGACTCGAAGAAAGGTGTCCGGAGGGTGCGTGTCTACCAGTAGTTAATGTTATTGTTCAGGGGACGGCAGCTCCAAGTTGTCGAAGAGGAGGAAGAAGCGGAAGAAGGTGTGTACTTGGCAACCCCACTGTTGAATCAGCCGGCTCTTGACATTCAGCGTGCTGCTGCTGCTGCCTCTGAGTCAAGCTCCTCTGATGGCGATCTGGACAGTCCAACATCACCATCCTGTAGCGTGTCCATCCTGAGGGGCTCGTACTGGACTTGTCCCCTCCTCAGCTGTCCCTGCGCCTACAGTGCTGGACCGCTTCTCCCTCCTTACGCCGAGCCCGGGCGAACGGAATGCTCTGGCGGCCCGGATAACTAAGTTGCATGCGGAGAACCTAGCGCGAGTTGTGAAGCTGTTGTCTTCTTCGGAGCAATCAGAAAAGGACGCCTTGATGGTGAGGAGGTCGCCGTGGGGTCTCGCTGAGGCCCATGTCTCCCGCAGGCATCTGCCAACGGAGATAGCGGTAGCGTTTTCACGATCAAGTTGGATCTGATCGATAATAAGACGTTCTGGATCCTGAGCAAGTGGGACGCAGCTGGAGACTTGTCCAGCCTTTAGGGTTTTATTCTGTCAGTCTGGTGAAGCTACAACTCCGTCAACAAGAGCACGAGCAGTATAAGCGTTATCACGATAGAATAGCCACAGTTTCGTGAAGAGAAATGATGTCTTGAGTTGTGACCCCGTATAGTATTACTAATACAAGGCTGACGACGATCGCCTTGTTCATTTCTGTGCGAAGACTGGAGAGTTGTGTTCGTACAAACGTCATCAAGGTTAGTTTCTAAGTGTAAGTCGGTCGGAAAAGTCTCAAAGCGACTGCCTTGGGGAAGAGTGGAGAAAGCCTCCTGATGAAGTGTTCGGGATGGCCGTCTTGTTAGACTTCGGCTCGGGAGTCGTTGCCCAATATAACGTTTGTGGTCTCGGTAATTGCCTCTGAACCGGTTTTGCTCTGGAGTCACCTCGCGAGCCCTCACCATTATCTGAGGCCCATTTCAATCCGCCGGTTACTCTCGCCTCCTGTGTCTATATGCCTTGGGAGAAGCTCTTGCCATACCTCGTCTCCCAACTAGTGGAGCTCCCAATTAGTGCGTGCATCACTCGTGTTATCATCGTGACATCACTAATTCTGAGTTGTGTCGTTAACGGGAATTGTTGGAGTGATGATAGCCATCCCACTCAATCCTGAGGTCCTTTTCTACCGTGTACACATGATCTCATGAGCCCATATGACGATGGTTCGCGCCCATATACTATACACTTATACGAACCCAACAGACGCGATAAAAACAAAATGGGTCATTTCTTTCAGCCACCATGGTTCAGCGAAGAAGGTCGATGGTCTCCACACCAAATGTCCAGGGCAACCGCCTCTGGATGTACGAGGGGCAATAGTATCAATATTCGCCGGAGCTGGACGCATCCTTACTTCTTCCCCTTCTTAGTCTTACCCTAGTCAGGAAAGAATCCCGATCGAAGCAAGCGTTGCCGACTGACCTTCTCTTTCGACGACGTGGTCTCGGCATCAGGAGGAGATGGCTCGGTCTCTACCACCACTTTAGCAGCCTTCAGCTTCTTCAGAGGTTCCTCCACCTTATAAAAGGCAGCGTTGAGCTACGTTAATCAGGAGTGTAGGAGTACCTCCTCGGGGGCTTCGGTCTGAGCATCTCCTGGATAGGGTACTCGTTTGTAGGATGGGGCCTCGGGATCGTCATACGCCTCCTCGTAAGTCTCATCCCACGTCCACTTCAATAACGGTTTCTCAGAGAAGGTATGAATTGGCGCTGAAATGACAATCACCTACTGCTAATCCGAACTTGTGAGTAAGAACAAAAGAGATCCATTGAAAAGTGTAGTTCGCTGGTACGGGTCTTACCAGGTCTGTCGACCATTTCATCCGGATGGAAGGACATATAAGGAATGACAGTACCTGAGTGTAGAAATACGAAGGACGAGGATGGACCCACGGCGTACCATCTCTGAGCCTAGTATGCATCTTATTCAGCTGGGAGTCCATCTGGTGCAGAGCACGCCTGGCTAGGTCGTCCTCCTCACGAAAGCGCACGTAGCAGTTCCTGAAAAGGGTCGATTCCAGAGTGGCTATAGGCAGCGGGAGAACCTTCCCAAACAGAAGTTGGTCTCTTCAATGACCCAATCATCCTCCTGTGGTATCAGTTCAGACTCCTGTACGGTTTGACCTAAAATCGAGTCACGACTACAACCAGACAAGCGCATAGATCACCTTCGTAGATGCTGAATAGGCGAGCACCGACGGGCCTGAAGAGCTTCTGGGCGAGCGGTCTCCTTGGAAGAGTCAACATTTGGAGGTAGCCTAGGAATTGCGTTCAGCAAGTTGGATCCGCGTTAACCGCGCGCGCCCTGCTGATCGATAAGTGTTGAAAAGTTGACTTGGGCACTCAGTCGCTACTACTTGCTATGGCCATCCAACGGAACAAACGGAGGCGTCCGCAGCCTGCCGTGTCTTCCCCAGATGATGCTGGTACTATCACTGCTCCTGCGCGCATCCCTTGTTATGGCTTTCAGGGTCGATCTCCTCCGATGACGAGGAGAACTTGCCGGCCCCTCCTAGTGAAGACGATGAGGACGACTTCTTCGCACAAGAGACCCCTGACGAGAAGAGGGTTCGCCTGGCAAAGGCGTACTAGGCTTGGGTACACGCCGGCATCAGTTATTACGGCTTTGCAGTTACCTTGCCGAACTGGATGCTGCCCGTGGTAGTAAGCCCGAGGATCATGCTGCTGCTGTTGATGCAGAACCAAGTGCCTCGATGGATGAGGAGGATGATATCGATAGGATGCTAAATGAGGAACTGGTAGTAGGCTCTAGGAGGTTGGTGGGACCAAATGGTTACTGCAGAAAGTGAAGTCAAAGAGACAGCGGTATAAGATAGCCGGGTCCCTTGCGGTCAAGGAGGACAGCATTACCTTTGCGAAGGGCCACAAATGCTCACCTACGTGTGTCGCCATGAATGGATCTGAGGACAAGGCTTATTCGGGTGAGTACTAGGAGGACGGGGAGGCATATAGTGGACGTGTTTGGTAGGTGGGATGGACTGTGCTATCATCCAGTGGGACCTGGCTACTATGAAGAAAATCGTCGTATATCCGGGCAACAGGAACGATTTCAAGTGCGGTGGGCATTTCCAGAAGGGTAGTAGTCATCATAACCGAGGGAGGAGGTGGAAGTGTCGGTGCCGTCATAGTTACTTCCGTTTGCACTGGTGATGCTGTCGGGCATCCAGAGCTACTGTGCTCGGTCAGTGACGACAAGACATTGCTTTTGTGGGACGTTAGAGCGCCTAATAAAGGAAGCGTAATGTGGGGGAAGAGGTATTAGTAGTGGTAGGACTTGGTGTTGTGTCAGGTCCAGCGCCTTCTTGGTCATCAAAGCGGTATAGCATCGGTGGTATGTGCAGAGGCATCGCCTCAGGCCGCAGGAGAGGGGATGGGAGGTGCACAGACGAGCTACTCGGGGAGCAAGGTAATACATTGGAGTTTCACGCGTGTTACGTGAACTCGGTGAAAAACGCGATATTTTTCCTATGCGGTAGTCGTAAATTCCATCATTCACTAGTATTTCCCCATATCTCGGGTGGAACTCCATTACACATCGTCATGGCTCGGTAGTGATTTTCCGATTGCTATTTAGTGGTGATTCTCGGAAGGAGTGGTAGGTTGTATCAGATATTCACCTTGGGGGGGAAGGATAAGGCGTTGAAGATCTGGCATCTGGATTCCGTTTTCTCGGGCCGATACGTGGACAGTCAATACGGTCATACCAACAGCGGCACATGTATGGACATACTGCAAGGGGACAGGTGAGGGCCACAGGGGCCTCGGCGCTGATGATGTCGGCAGGCCCGTGACTGGTGGAGCGGATAGTACAGTTCGGTACTGGAAAGTCGCCAACGATACGCATATGCTGTTCAACGTACATAAAAAGGAAGGTGGTAGTGGGGAGTATGTAGTGGACGCTATAGCGATGACGAATGACGCTACTCGAGTGCTAGCGATAGGAGGTGTAAGGCATACGTTGTTGTTGTTAGGGTATGGATCAGTGGATGCTGTATCATTGTTGGACCCAGAGCATATCTTGGCTGGTGGACAAGATGGAGGTCTCACATTGTGGGCTACTAATAGTCGAAGGCCGGTCGCTAGTGTAGAGGCAGCACATGGTGCTAAGCAACTACTGAGTAGGACTGGATAGGACGGGTTACGGAAGTGCTCTTTTTGCAGAGGGGGAGAGGGATGCCGCTGACGACGATGAAAGCGATGATGAAGAGGACTTCGACTTCACCAAGGCAGCGGCAGTGCAGCAGCAGCAGCAGTCGACTATTGCTTCGGATGCCAAGGCGGTGGATCGATCAGTGGCAGCACCTTGGATTTCCTCACTAGCGTCTATAAGATGCAGTGATGTTGCCTTCTCTGGCTCCAGCGATGGCCTTATTAATGTCTGGAGTAGGTTCGGGATGGAGTGGTATCAACTGGTGGGCGTTCATATTCACCAGCAATCGAGTGTGTGGATTTGTCTCGGTGATACTCATGAAGTTGGGCTCATGAAGAACTAACGAATTCGTCATCTTACCAGTCGGTACTGTCCGGCGTCTCCTGCCACGGACTTTGGTAGAATTTTACCTTTCCCGATTTTGACGAGTAAACTATGTTCCTGGCGGAAAAACTATGACATTTTTTGCTCTTCACTGGGGAAAATCCATTATGATGGAAATAGTATAGGGTATAGGGTACGAATCGAGCTTCCTTCAGGAACCAGCGCGGCTACAAAGGGCAAGATGAACTTGGACTTGGACAGAAGGATCAAGCTGCCTATCAAGGGCGGATGGATCAATCAGATGGCAGTCGGCAGCACTGGAAGAGTATTAACATATCTTTTCTATTGGTGATATGATGATCATTGGTGTACAGGTCCTAGTAGCAGCAATTGGGCGGAATCATCGTCTTGGTCGATGGGACACCAAGCCGGGTCGGGACGGCCTTGCTATTGTTAGACTAGAGCACGATGGTCCCAGTCATACTGTATGATGATGGGAGAGGTTTAGAGCTGTCTGCTGCTCACCAACGTATTGTTCCTCAAACGTCTATGATGTATTCAACATTTACCACTTCTCTCTGGCACTGCCTGGCTTCCTAAGAGGGATTGGATGGGTCGCTGAGTTGCCACGGAGGGAGGCAGTGTTGAAATAAATGGTCGCCTTTCTCAACTGAGCTCAGGAGTTTCCTCACTGATTATAGGAGTTTACGCACGACTTAGAGCGGTGGCGATCAGAAGTCAACAGAATTTCCCGAAATTTCCTTCAATTTTTCATGTTTTCACCAACACATGTAGTTGACTATGTGTATATTTTTTCACACTGATCCAATGGTCTTGCCATTCCTCACAAGTTTTACAATATATCAATGCCATTAGAGTCGCCACCGCCGGGTCTGGCACCCTTGGAAAGCGTTGAGGAAAAGCAAGTGGAGCAAGATTTGTCAGTAGAAAAGAAGGCTACTGCTCCTAGGAAGCCTCGGGTGTGTCGAGATTGGCGACGCAGTGGTAAATGCCGCTTTGGGGACAAATGCAAATTCGCCCATATTGACTCGCCTGAGAAGAAGATAGAAGATGATAAGAAGCGAGCAGCAAAGGAAAAGGAGCGACCAGTGTGCCGTTATTATGCTGCTGGGAAGAATTGCAGATTCGGTGAGCGATGTCGGTATAGGCATGAAAGAATTGAGGAAAAGCAAGATGAGGAGGTGATACCGACCAGGCTGGGCATCTCAGATGAAGAGCATGTGGTAAGGCTCGTTTCGGATGGTTGGACGTGTGAGGAGGAGTTTATGAAACTCGAACGCTTCTATCGGAATGCTGGGTACCGGAAGTCTGAAGGAGATGGTTTTACTAGGGTGGACCTGACCATCTTGTGCAGCGACCCTGATTTCAATCGGATGCTTTATACGCCAGAGGGCATCCCGGTGGCAGTCCTGATGCCTTCCTCGTACACAGAGAAGGGTGAGTACTCGGAGGAGCTCGTTCTTATAGTGACTAAAATTAGCGCGAAAATTCCTAAGGCTGTGAGGATACTCCTGCCGAAAATATTCGACAATTATTGTGCGAGTGTAGAGCCGCCAGTGAGCATTTTTAAAGCACTGCAGGCGGTGGAAAAGTGCATACCGAGTGTGTTTGAAGCCGCTGAGAAAAAGAAGGAAATTGGCGCTTTGACGAATGTACAGTGGGTTGATGCTGAGAAGGAGCGGTTGGTGGAGGCATTGGAAAAGTATTTTGAGGTTGATGTTGATGATGGCAAGTGGGAGAAAATCTCGCAATATGTTGTGAGTCGTAATGTGGATGAGTGCCGTGCCAAATTCATCTCGATACGGCAAAATCTATTGAGAGAACAAGAGGAGTATGAGCGAGGAGAAGAGGAAGAAAGTGATGATGACGATGATGGTGATCACAGTGGCGATAGTGATGAAAGCGATAGTGAAGTCGAAACACCGGATGAAAATGCTGGTCAAGGCTTTGGTGGTCCTGATGATTCGGATGAAAGCCCGATGGAGACCGCAGAGGAGCCGGGGGCATTCACAGTAGATGATGTTAAGCGGATTGGAGTAGTGGTGAAACAGCCTTTAACGTCTATGGTTGGTATATCCATCGCGACCTGTTTATCATGTGAGGTCATAATCGCCTGCAACAGATGCAGGAAGATGCGGCCGATGGTGGTAGACTTTGGGGAGGCTACCGAGCAGAGGGTTGTCGCGTGCAGTGGGAAGTGCCATACGTGCAGTCTTGTGAACACATATTCGCTGTAGTGGAGCCCATGTTCCCGGGCAGCGACTTTACGCTTTTCGGCGATACTGAGTCTGCACATATTGCAAGTAGTTGATGCACTCTGGAGATCCGCTGTGAGATGCGATAAGCTATACAAGCTCGGCATTTGAGATCGG